TCCTATTTAAGAGATGTCAAACCCATTCCCACTGAAGTACCGCCTAACACTCAAATGATTGGGACAACATTTACTAGCTCAGGGACTGCTGAAACAGAGTACACAATTTCTTCCAGAAGTTCAGCACATACATGTGTGCTGCTTCTACAAATGTAGACTAAAAACTGTTATAGGAATGTTTAACTGCTAATAGACTCATTTTTCATTCAAGCCAAGCCTCCATTGCTTTAAAAAAAAGTACTGTGTTAGGCCCCAGTTGTCCTAGTTAATTTGGACAGAAAATAATTTCAATTTTGATGACAGAAAATTCTGATTCGATTCCTCAATGTATTGAAGTTAACAGCAAACTCTTCTCGTCTTGGTCATTTCGTGATGTGCAGCTAATTCCTGACATGCAGCTTGCAGTATGATTGATTCGCCTGCAGGGCACATTCGACAACAGAGGTTAATTTCTTTTGTACACTTACGTATTTGCGTTCTTTCCCTCCTTATGAAAGATGAAGATCGAGAGAAGTATGTGAGCCCTCAGGAACTAGAAGCGCATCTCACTGTCACGTTACGACAACTTTTGTTCAGCAGACTACAACTCTGGGTTTTGGTTTGGGTCATTGATCGGAATCCAATGCAACAAATTCTTACAGCACTAATTGTTAGCACAGGCAAAAAATGTTAAGCAAGAAGGATTAAAGGCTGCTCAGGCATAGCAGAGCTCTTTCCAACAAGACAAATTACAGCTATTATTTTATATCAATGAACTGTAATCATCTTGAATTCCCTGCACTGGAAGGAAAATTTGTGATAACAAACTCTTCTCTTATCTACCCTACCTTCTAGCCTGCGATAATCAGGGTACATCTTTCGTAGAGAAGGGGACATTCCTCATGTCAGCTTTTCTCATATGAATTTATGTAATGAAATACATTTTAAATATCAGCCTTCCAATCGGACAATATGTTTGTTATGATTAATGCTCAAGTAGAGTTGTTTACCATGCATGTCTAAAAATAACAAGATTTTTAAAAAAATGTTTCCCACAGGAGTTAACACTCGGACTTCAGAAACAGTGAATAAAGTCCGAACGCACGGCTCACCCTTTGCACAGCTGATCTTTGCAGAGCAGAGAAAGTTTTAACTAAAGTAGTTGCTCCCTTTAGTTTCTTGATCTTTTTTTTTAAATCAGTTTCACCTCTGGCTTTCTGTGCTAGCATGGAGCTGACTCCTGGGCAACCTCTTAGACTTGTTCAGTGCTTAAGTCCCACCTCGGTGGGAGCAGCTTGGAGCTTTCATTTGGAACTAGCAGGAGGTGACGCTGGATGAAAGCAGGGGTAATCCTCTCAGCATGCAATTCAGAAGCAATTCTAAGCAGGTCTCAAAAGATGAAATCAGTTGAAGAAATGGATCATCTAGAGGTTGGTCCTGTGCTATTCAGTTTTTGAAAGTCTATCTGCACTGCCTCTCCCACTGATCTGTGAAGCAGGTGTGCACTGCTCAGCGTAGGTCCAGCACTGCGCCTTTGCTGGGCTGTGTGTATACAGGCTGCGGGGGCAGCTGTGCCCACCCCAAGACACCCTTACTCACCAGGCTAAGGTTCTGATTTTCTAGTAAAAGGGTTACAAGGTGGCCTCAGGAGAGGAAAAAATGGCAGAAAACCCCTTTTTGTTTCTGACAGCCACCTTCTCGTATGTTCCCATCAGCCCCATTTGCCATGCACAGCACGAGGGATGGGGGTTACTGGTTCCCCGCTTCCTCCAGCACAGCCCAGGACCTCAGTTCTGCACCACATTGCCTCTAAGCAAGCACTACCGCTACCCGAAAGGGAGGGGAAGCAGCATCCAAGGCGGTTGGCCTCTCAGATTATCGCAAAAGGCACAACACCTACTAATCGTTACCATAGAACCTCTCGAGTCAGAAGGCACCCATAGGGATTATCGAGTGCAACTCCCTGCTCCTCGTAGGACTACCTAGAGCTAAATGATATGACTAAGAACATCGTTCAGATGATCCTTGAACTCTGACAGGCCTTGAACTCTTGGTGCCATAGCCAATTCCCTGGGGAGCCTGTTATGGCTACTAAGGCAAAATTGCCTTAAAAATTACTGTAGGAAGGAAAAAATGTGTGCAGAGACTTATGAGATACTGTGCCCGTGTGTTTAAATTTGTGTATTCTAGACTGTGGAAGACAGAAGCAGTAGTAAGATCAGCAGGGGGAAAGCCTGGCTTTTGAGAACAGTGATAGCCATTTCCTCTGTCAGTGACCCCTGATCGTTGTCCAATTTTTCCATTCTTGACTACTCTTGATTCATCCCAGGTAGAACATGATAAAAATAAAACTTCAAGAAGAGGCAGCAAGAACACCTACAGAGGGGTTTATGTTGGGCTTTCAGCCTCCTAGATAAAGCTGCTGAGATCTTCTGAAACACCAAGCCGCTCCTCTGCCTCCTCCAACCAACAAACCTACGATCCAGGCCCTGCCGCTCCATCCTCTGCATCAGCACTGGCCCTGCGCATTCCAACTGCATTTCACAAACCCCTACATACATTCCTCTTCTCCCCCTTTGGTTTTTGGGGTTGTTTTTTTTTGCAGGAGGGTGTGTGTGTGAAGTGTTTCATCATCTTTTGAACTCACGCTTCTGCTTCATCGCATGCTATACTGGCAAAAGGGAAATGGTAAAGTTTGTTCAGCTTCTAAAAATTAGTAGATAAGCCTAGGCTCCTCAAAGAGCAGGCAATTTGTACACACAGCAGTTATGCCCCATCTACCATTCCTGTGCTCTTCTTTGCAATGGACTTAAGCACTCATTTCTACTATCACTCAACAATTTAATGGTTTTCTAGGATCTCTGACAGTCAAGGCATTTACACCCTGACAAGATATCAGTACTGTGGGTTTGGGTGACGAGAACAGATGGAAGAAAAAAATCCATCTTCTAGACTGCTTCAGTTTTAGGGAGACCAGCTGAGCTTGAAGCAGGCCGGCACCGTCTTACTGCGAATGAATCTGAAGACCAGCTGTGTGTTAACACCACACGTGGGATGGTCAAGTTCCTGAGCATGGCAGTGACTTGACCTCTTCAAGAATTAATTCTGCCTTTTGTACATTTTAAAGGCGGTGACAGAGTTATTACTAACTAGTGAGATTCTTTCTTTGTCAATTACTAGAGGGAGGGCCCTAGCTTCCAAAAAAGAGCCATTTTGCATAACTAGCTCTGACAAAAATTGTCAAATACTAAACCCATCCCTGCTAAAAAAAAAAATGAGGGGGGATGTGAAACTATTTAATTCACTTAATCCTCTAATATTATCTATTAATAGCCTTAATTAGCAGACTGAAGTAACAAAGGGCATGAATTCAGTCATTTTAATACATAGATGACACATAGGCATAACGTGTGAAAGACTTGCAGCATAAATGGGCAAAAGTGGTGTCAGCTGGGGTTTTTTATTATTTTACGGGGTTGTTTTTTAATTTTGTTGCTTCTGTTATTAATCAATGACCTGGATGAAGGGACAGAGTGTACCCTCAGCAAGTTTGCTGATGACACAAAACTGGGAGAAGTGGTAGATACACCAGAAGGCTGTGCTGCCATTCAGTGTGACCTGGACAGGCTGGAGAGTTGGGTACAGAGGAACCTGATGAGGCTCAACAAGGGCAAGTGCAGGGTCCTGCACCTGGGGAGGAACAACGCCATGCATCAGTACAGGCTTGGGGCGGACCTGCTGGAGAGCAGCTCTGTGGAGAGGGACCAGGGAGTGCTGGTGCATGACAGGTTGACCATGAGCCAGCAGTGTGCCCTTCTGGCCAAGAAGGCCAATGGGATCCTGGGGTGCATTAGGAGGAGTGTGGCCAGCAGGTCAAGGGAGGTTCTCCTTCCCCTCTACACTGCCCTGGTGAGGCCCCATCTGGAGTACTCTGTCCAGTACTGGGCTCCCCAGTTCAAGAAAGATGAGGAACTACTGGAGAGAGTCCAGCAGA